GCCTCTCCCGCTGCGGAGCACAGGCTCCGGACGCGCAGGCCCAGCGGCCATGGCTCAAGGGGCCCGCCGCGGACCGGGGCAAGAACCCGCGTCCCCTGCATCGGCAGGCGGACTCTTAAACACTGCGCCACCAGGGAAGCCCTGGAAGCCCTAAAGTCTGTTTCTGTGGAGAGTTTTTTTTTGTGTGTGAGAGGTCCTGGGAAATTGGGCACTAGGGTATAATGTCATTAAACTATTGCTAATTATGCCCCCTCTTCGGACATTCAAGTCTGTTTTCCTTTTATATTGTTATTTCTCACAACACGAAATCTCCTCTTGGTTCTCTAAGCAGATTACCAATTAAAGTGATTTACTTGCTGAGATTGGATTGAGCATTAGTGTATTTAGTAAGGATTGATTTTGGCGGGGGGGAACTCTTAAGTTATTTTGGGCTTCAAGACCATCTAACATACGTGGTAGAAACACTGGTTAAACATAACCACAGCTAACCCGTAAGGAGCCTTTGTTTCCTAAATTAGTGATTCATTAAATGGTGACTGGAAACTTGGCTTCTTTGTGAGTGATGTACAGTTTTTGAGCAGTTACCTACGGAAATCGGATTCCTCCCCTCAGCAATGTGTTGGTTTAGAGAACCATGTTGGTTAAGTCATATTTTAACTTTGTTTTGATAGGCAACTGGATCTAATTGTTGGGTATATATTTCTAGCACCTCTAAAAGAATTTAGGGGTTTTTTTGTCCTCCCCTTGAGGATAAGTGTTTTAAGTATCCCTAATTCTCTTAAAGGTCGTGCTAAATAGTGAGGGTAAGACACTTTGCAAATGTTTAGATAAGCACAGAAGGTTGCATTTTACTCTCTTTAGGTTAAAGTAATGAAGAGATCTCTAGTTTCTCTTTCAAAGTCATGGATGGGCTCAGTATCTTTTAATCATTTTTGGGGGGAATGCTGAATAGCTTACAAATTACTATCTAGAGTGTGCCAGGAGTGGAGTAGTGTAGTGGAAAATGCAGCAATTGATTTAAAACAGCTTCTAGATAGGGGAAATCTAGTGGAAGCAATGCTGCATTTGCTTAGGATGTACTGTGAACTGATGCCCAATTATGTCCTTTTAGGCCTACATAAAGATCCACATAATAGAGGTAGGGTTTTATTTATGATTAAAACAAAAGGTAAGGTGATGGTTTATTTTTCAGTATTCCACAGGACTGTTGTTTGGAGAAAGTATCATGGAAGTTCTGCGTCCACAGCTTATAAGAATTGGTGGACGGGTTTACAGGAAGAATCCCATCCAAGAGCAGACTTATCAACATGAAGACGAAGATGATGACTGTTATCAAGGTAATCCTGGTTGATCTTTGGTCAGATTAGAAGTAAAATGTTCTTCGTATTGTAGAAGCAATTTTTTGTTTCAGTGTATTTCTGTGCGAGCACTGAAATTTGAGATGTTTGGCCTCTTATAGCTCCCTTTGTGTTGACGTCTGAGGGGACAGATGAGTGAGTTTGATGAGGTGTTCTCAGTTCATACATCAGGTTGTGTCTCATCTTTGTGCAGAGGCTTAAATGTAATATGGGGTAATTTTAGTTAACTATTAATATTAACCATTAATAATCTGTGGCAAAATGAAGTTCTTTTATCTGTAAAGCTATGAAGTAATTTCTATAAATTATTGAAATAAATGAACATGTGCCCAGTGTTAGCTGTTGTTATTATTATTGTTGTGTTGTAATTTTTCTTTTCTTCTTTGCAGTCATATACAGGCAGTTTCAAATACACAACCAACATTATTACTACCTAAAATAGGGATAATTTTTAAGAAGTAAACTAAACTGTTGAGATGGGCAATATTTTCAGGCTGATTAACTTGGACTTGGGTTTAATGCACAAATAGGGCCTTTCAGGTTCTCTGCTTCCTTTTCCTTTTGGTTTGTAAGCTTTTCCATTAGGCCCTAAGCCTTGGGGAATAGTCTTCCCCTTGGTCCTCCCTGCTGTTTCCCTTTTGCCTTGGGGCCTTGAGCTCCTTTATTTCACCCTCCTCCTTTCTCTTTGTCTTGGCTGTATGGAGTAAGTTCTCCAGTATCACTCCTACCTCATTCACTGAAGTGATTTTGTGTTTTAATACTAAAAACCACTGAGTTGTACATTTTTTTTTTTTTTTTTTTTTTTGGTACGCGGGCCTTTCATTGTTGTGGCCTCTCCCGTTGCGGAGCACAGGCTCCGGACGCGCAGGCTCAGCGGCCACGGCTCACAGGCCCAGCCGCTTCGCGGCATGTGGGATCTTCCCGGACTGGGGCACGAACTTGTGTCCCCTGCATCGGCAGGCGGACTCTCAACCACTGCGCCACCAGGGAAGCCTGAGTTGTACATTTTAAGAGGATGAGTTTTATGTTACATGAAACACATCTCCAAAAGAAAAAACAGTACAAAAAATTTTACTGTCTTAGCTTTCTGGGAGAAAACAGTTAAATAGTGATATGTAAATACTCCTTTTCCACGGTTCCAAGATTGGAAGATTTAAAATAGTCATATGTTTTTTATTCTTTATTTTTCTTCTAAGAGCAGGTCAGAAGGAATATCAGAGCAGTGTTCTGTAGTGTAAAGTGTATGACTGTTTTTTTTGTGTGTGTATTGCTTTTTTTAAACCTTGAGAGTGGTTGGACAGCTGGTGAGAAAGCAGACTGTTGTCCATAGAGCAGCAGCTCTGAGCGAGATGTTACCATTTCTCTACAGGTCTCGTGGAGTGTGCAGAAGAGTCCTGTGAAGCCTATGAGGTGGTGCAGACCCCGCAAGGTTTCCGGTGTACTGTGAAGGCCCCCAGCCTGCTCTACAAGTGAGTGAGGCCCCCGGCAGCTTCATGGGAAGGCATTTCTAGGAAACATAGCAGGAAGTGGATTCTTCTCTTTTTCACACTTATTGCAATGCTTGATTACTAGTGATAAAATGGTTTAGTGTTTAATGTCCTAGAATTTCTAAGGACTGATTGTAGATCAGTTTCATCATTTCACATGTGTCACCAAGTCCTGTTGATTTTGCTTCTTAAATATCTTTTGAATCTACTTCTCTCTTTCTTTACAGCCACCCTGCTGCCTTGTCTGTGAATTACTTCAAGTAGCCTACTTACTGGTCTCTCCACATTGATTCTTGCTCTCTCTTCCAATCAGTTCTTCACATTGAGGGTGGAATGATCTTTTTAAAAGGCAAACCTGATTATTTTACTACCTTTGCTTGAAATCCATTAACATCCTTCCTCTGAAGATGGAATTCTCTTCCATTAGAGCAGTGGCCAAAATCTTGAACATGAGTTAGCCAGCCTTGATTTTTCAGTCTCAGTTCACATCACTGTTTCCCTGGCTTCGCACTTAAGCTTAACTGGTTTTCTTCAGTTCTTCACATGTGCCGTGTTCCTTCCTGCCTTTGAGCCTTGGCATATGCTGTTCCCTTTGCCTTTTTTTTATTTTATTTTTTTTTTATTTTTTGCGGTACGCGGGCCTCTCACTGCTGTGGCCTCTCCCGTTGCGGAGCACAGGCTCCAGACGCGCAGGCTCAGTGGCCATGGCTCACGGGCCCAGCCGCTCCGCGGCATGTGTGATCTTCCCGGACCGGGGCACGAACCCGCGTCCCCTGCATCGGCAGGCGGACTCTCAACCACTGCGCCACCTGGGAAGCCCCCCTTTGCCTTTTAATCTCTCCTGTTCCTTAGCTAGTTTTATTCTCCTTCCTTAGGGAAGCTTGCTTTGACACCGACATCCCCACCGCCACATTGATTACCCTACTATATGTTTTCATAACACCCTCTACTTTTCCTTTGTTGCATTTCTCAGTCTTATGTTTATATTTATTTGTGTGCTATTTGATATTTTTCCCACTAGATGGGAAGCTTCTTGAAGGTAGGAATGTGTCCTGTTATTCTCCAATGCTTGTCAAATACTGATGTGCTTTTTCCAGAGTTATCGTTATATGTAAATTGCTTGGAAGCTTTGCCATCACTTCAGTCTGTGCTTGCTTGCTTGCATGATGGACCACATTCTGTCTCTTATTAACCACTAATACAGTTAGCTTATGTGGCTGACTGGCTTCTTTTGGGCTTGTGCCTCTGGAGATAGGCGGGTCTGGGAAGTCATAGATTTTTTTTCTGTGTTGTACCAGATGAATAAAGTCTGTCCTTGATCCTCTATGAGAGGAGATCTACAAATATGGAATCATATACCTTTAAGCTCCAAGAGGCAAGTAGTTTCATTTTTGTCAAGCTTGAGAATCTCCTGAAACACCTATTAAGGATGAAATTCTTATGGAATGTGGCTGAATGCGAAACCAAATGTTAATCCTGACAGCTCACTTTTCTCTCAGGTTCGGTGACATTTTCTTCTAAGAAACATGATTTTAGAAAGTTGTGGCTCAGGTTCCTGATAAAATCAATGCAACATGTCTTCCTTAATGTATATATTTGCTACTGGTAAGGTGTGTAAAGATTCCTTAAATATCTGATTCTAACTTGATGACCTTTTGAATTCTTTATATTCTAAGTACTCATTTTGTTCCAGATGACTTGCAATTTAGATGAGGTATTGGTTCTGCTAAATCCTAATTAATAGACAGTATTTACTAGGAAGACTCCTTCCTCCCTCCCTCCCTTCCTGTCTTATTGAGAAACAATTGTCATACAAGGAAGATTTCTTTCTTATGAATCATTTATGTAAGGTTATTTGGATCAAGGAAGAGATTACTTTAACCAAAGTAATTTATAATCAAAGCCTAATGGTGATACACGTGTCCACGGACTGGATCTAATACTGTGGTTCTCAACTTCAGGTGCACATTTAAAGCTCCTGGGGAGCTTTAAAAATTCCTGATACCTAGGTGCACCCCAGACCAGCTGAGTCCAAATCTCTGGGAGCTGAACCCAGGCATCATTAGTTTTTGTAGCCCCCCAGGTGATTCCAGTGTGTAGCCAAGATTGAGAACCACTTGATCTGGCAGGAATTTCCACTTACATATTCAATAAAGGAGTCACCCTTTCACTGCATATCTTTTATTGTGAGTGTTTTAGACTTTCCATGTAAACCTCTTTTGGGTCTGGTACTCTTAACTGGAAGGATGCCGTCATGGGCTTAATGAGGATGACATGGGCTGCACTGAGCTATGTGTCAGTCACTAGGAAGCCCTTTTATATATGATCACATTTAATCCTTAAAGCAAACTTATGTTGCTTAGGTATTATTCACTCCATTTTTATAAGTGAGGAAATAGGCTTAGAGTGGTTAAATGACTTGCCCAAGGTTTGATTCTAAAGCGTCTTTAACCTCAACCACTTCCCTAAGGTGCCTGGACTATTAATAACACTTTGAGCCAACTACTTAGGGTAAGTTTGTCCACTAGCCATGTGCTAACAAACAGGAGCCTGGTTGAAAGCTCCCCTTGTTGATAAGGCCTGGAAAGGCAAAGGCCTGATGGAGTTGGTGCTGCACAGTCCCTAGCCCAACACAGAGAAAAACCACATTGAAACTGTGGAGTTCTCGTCCTCTTCTAAACATCCTGTTTTATAAAAAACTGGCTTACTGCCGTAAATCTTAATGGAAATAACCGGGCTTGGTTAGCCCCATGTAAAAAACAAATGCAGAGTTTTAGACATAGTCACCCGTGCTGTTGGATACTGTAATTGAAATCATAGAAGCTGAAATACTGTTGATGAGGAAGTTTTATCTCTTAACTTTATGGTCCTGTGATGGTCTCTTAGTGCCTTATAGACTCTGAAACTTTTCTCCTGGGATCCGGTAGTCTCATTTGCTTTAACACATCTAATTACTATGGGTTTCAGAAGATAACCTTGGATTGTCAGAATTATTTATGCTAGGAGGCCCAGACAAGTAATGCTAATGAGCCAGCAGATGATTGAGGTGCAGTCAGTGAACGACAGTAGGGAGGGCCAGGGTTTGTGATGAGCTCATATTCCATTTTTAGGAACACGCTCACATTCCAGCCTATTTTTGCCATGAGTAGTCAGATCTCCCAATTTTTCAAAAGAACTTAGAAATCTATATTTTTAGGTAAAATTTCCCAATTTTTAGGTGAAATCTCCCAAACAAAACATGCCTATGTGTTTGAATTCAACCTGAGGATTACCTCTTTACTCTCTTTGCTTGATTCTGTCCTGACTGGTGAACCCTGCTCTTTGCTAAGCTCTTTACCTTTATTTAATTAATCAAGGATAATTCCCTTAGGATGAACTCATAATGTAGTTAATTTGCTCTCTAAGAGAACAAGGTTTTCCCCCTTCAAACTATAGACCCAGTCAAGTGCCCTGTGAGACTGTGCCAGCTTTCCTTTCACTGAACTGCAGACCCACGTTTTGAATATAGTTATTTATTTATTTATTTATTTATGGCTGTGTTAGGTCTTTGTTGATGTGCGTGGGCTTTCTCTAGTTGTGGCGAGCGGGGGCTACTTTTCGTTGCGGTGGCTTCTCTTGTTGTGGAGCATGGGCTCTAGGCACGTGGGCTTTGGTAGTTGTGGCGTGTGGGCTTCATTAGTTGTGGCTCGCGGGCTCTAGAGCCCAGGCTCATTAGTTGTGGTGCACAGGCTTGGTTGCTCCGCGGCATATGGGATCTTCCTGGACCAGGGCCCAAACCCGTGTCCCCTGCATTGGCAGGCGGATTCTTAACCACTGCACCACCAGGGGAGTCTCTGAATATAGTTTTGAGAAGCAAGCAGGCATTGAGCATAGTTATTCTTTCTGTGTGGTTGAATTGGCTGTAGGATATCATTTTGCCAATGAGTGTAATGCGGTATGTTCTATAAAGCTGTATGATCTGTAATTTCCCCTACAGATACTGATTTTTTACTGAAGCACCTTTCTATGAGGGAGTGTCTGGCCACATATGATTTAAACATGATGGAGTTCTTTATTCTTGAACATTTTGATTTACGTTAATTAATTTTCTTTATATTATAGGCATATAGTTGGAAAGAGGGGCGACACTAGGAAGAAACTAGAAGTGGAGACCAAAACTTCCATAAGCATTCCTAAGCCTGGACAAGAAGGAGAAATTGGTGAGACCCAATATATATGTTATATTTGGAATCACTTGTGTGTGTGTATGGAATAATGTGACCCAACTGAGGTGTTTGGTGACTATATTCTTTATGTGGTTCTGTAGCGATTGGCCTTTTTATATAAGTGTCAGTCTCCCAAATGAAGAAAGATGTAGTCATACAACCTTATCTTGATTGAGTACCTGGGCCTTAATTTTATACTTCACCACGCACTGATGGAATAAAGCTTCCAGATTTTGTTGTGGACGAGAAGATTTCTTTCATGCTTCAGTAGCTTGAAATGAAGTTGTGAATTATTTCAAGTTAGAATTAGAGAAAACCAGTGGGATCAGCAAATTTGAAATAAAGTTCAGACCTTTCCATATTGTTCTCTTGTTTTTATCTTGCTTTGTAGACTAGGAAGGAAATAGTAAGAGTAATAATTAAAACAACAACCTGATTCAAATAACTGGTCAGGTGAGGAAGAGTAGTTTAGCAATAGAAATCACGTCAGAAAGTGTCTGTACTAAAGCAACAATGTGAACCAAGGGCATAGGCTTGTGTTGTAAAGTGGCTTTGAGTGAGAGGCACTGGAGGGACAGAATTTTAAAAAACTCATCCTAAAGCAGTAGGACTTCTTCAATGTCGAATAAGTGCAGCAGCCTCCAATAACCCATTTTCCATAATCACTCATAGGTTGTATTAAGTTTTAGGAGAAAAAAATAATAAGTACTCTTTTCATTTTGTGCTGTGTGAGAATAATCACTGTGGCAGATAAGTAGCAGTTGACTTTAGAGCAGTGCTGTCCAGGAGAACTTTCTGTGATTGTGAAAATGTTGTGTATCTGCACTGTCCAGTACAGGAGCCACTAGCCACACGGGACTGTGATTACTTGAAATGTGGCTAGTGTGACTGAGGAACTGAATTTTGAATACTGCTTCATTCTAATTCATTTAACTTTTAATTTAACTAGCTGCGTGTGGGCTCCTGTTTTGGACAATGAAGTGCTAGAATTTTCCCCAGCCCCTTGGTAACTTCAGCAAACTTTAGCTTTAGGACTTTAGTGACATTTTAAAAAAATTAATTAATTTATTAATTAATTTATTTTTGGCTGCGTTGGGTCTTCGTTGCTGCATACGGGCTTTTCTCTAGTTGCAGTGAGCAGCAGGGGCTACTCTTCGTTGCGGTGCGCGGGCTTCTCGTTGCAGTGACTTCTCTTGTTGTGGAGCACGGGCTCTAGGCACGCGGGCTTCAGTAGTTGTGGCACGTGGGCTCAGTAGTTGTGGCTCATGGGCTCTAGAGCACAGGCTCGGTAGTTGTGGCGCACGGGCTTAGTTGCTTCGTGGCATGTGGGATCTTCCTGGACCAGGGCTCGAACCTGTGTCCCCTGCATTGGCAGGTGGATTCTTAACCACTGTGCCACCAGGGAAGTCCCTAATGACATTTTTGAAGGACTCTCACTGAAATAAATATTTAGAATTACAGTTAAAAAAACTTGGGTCTTTCCTTAAGTGTTAAAGTTCAAGTTACAAATATTGAAGTAATTTTATTAATTGCATTAAAGCTTATTTTTATTTCCTGATTTAAAAATTAATACATGCTTTCAAAAACAAAAACTTGTAGCAATTATATATAAAGTATAAAGGGAAGTCTCTTGTGTTATGAACCTCAGCCATAATTGCTGTTAATAGTTGAATCTGTTCTGCATTTTTTCTATGCATATAGCAACAGATGGATAATAATTTTTATTTTGGTAAAAATTATAACATGCTATAAATGTAGAGACCTTAGCCATTTTAAGATACTGGAGTCATTCCAAAACTTCTCCAGAAAAGGTTAGACAGGTTGTTAAGATTCCATTTTGACTTAGAAAGCACAAATATTTAAGTGTGAAAAATAAGTGTGACTAATCATTAAAAGTAAGAATTTAGTGGAACTAATTTAACTGAAAAAGAAGAGGATAAACTGGCTTATTGGTCTTGTAGGGAAGTAAAGTATATAGAAAAATCAAATTTATTGCTTGCAGTAAATTGGGTTGTAATGTGAAATCACGACTGCCAGTGCATTGGTGTGGTATATGCTGTAATTAGTTATTTTCTTTTGCCTCTTCTAAATTAGAGAAACTAGAGAAGAAAATGATTTAGTAGGTTTTAATTTGTCCTCTAGATAAGGATCTGGTCTAGTCTTGTTTTGAAGTCTCAGGCAATGGGATGTAAGAAGATGCTTTTAAAGTGTTGTTGTCATTGTAGTTAGGCAATTGGTTTTTTTTAAAGTTTCACATCAATGCCTTTAATTGTTTTCTTTCTCTGTATCCCTTATTGTAGTCTTTAGACCCATGCCATGTAAATTCTGGTCCTCTCAGATATAATATTCTAATATTTTAGAATATTTCTAACCTCATCATATTTGCTTTTTAGTAATTGTTTGCTCAACTTTGAATCTTTTTCTGGAAATCAGCCTGAGCACCTTTGAAGTGCCCTTTTCAGTTTTCTATGTTAAAAAATGAAAATGTCTTATTAGTCTTATTCTCTACTGAACCACCTTCTTAATGGAAAATAATAGATTTAGCATATTGTACTAAATTTTTACAGAAATAAAACATAAACATGAATTTTAAGCTTCCATCTCCTCCATCCCTTTTCCTTTTATTTTCTCACCATATTTTGTCTCTTGCAGAAATAATTATAATTTCTACTTTCCTTTAATTTTGTCCCAGTTTACCATTGAATCCTCCTTTGTCAGTATTTCTATAGCACATTATTTGAATGCCTGCTAGGATACTTCCCTTCACTGGGCATCTGAGTCTTTTGGATTCTCAAAGTATCCTATTTGAAAATATCAATAACGTCATTAGAAAATATCATATCTCAGCTTCTTACATTTTTTGGTTATTACTTATGTCAATTTTTTACTTAGGCAAACAGTTTTTAGGCTTTCTGTTAATTAATTCATTCATAGTTTACTTCTTTTCTTAGAAATTTCCATCTTGTTTCTCTACAACAAAATGGGTGTGATAATTTCATTCTTATTAAGAAATAGATAGGTTGTTCTTTAGAAAGTTTCAGGTGCTTTAATGGGAAGTATTAAAGAAATAATTCCATTTGTTTGTCCTAACTTCTGCAGTTGCTTGGAAGGAACAAGCTTTGTGGTCTTGAAAGTACATAGCACATTTTGCTATTATTAGAGTTAATACTTCAATATTTTATGTTCAGGAGTCTGTCCTTTCCTCTTTAATAAATAGTCTGTTAAAATGCCAGTTTTGTTCATTGTTCCTATCTTCTGCACCTTTCCTTAGTTTCTGTTTTGGACCAAGCACTGCCAGTTCTGGAACCTAGAAGTTTAATCTCTGCTTAAACAGAGGTTGTGTAATCCCTAAATGATTTTTTTTCTTTGCAGACAGTGGTGTTAAGGCTTTGTGGCTTTTCCCCCTATTTTCGTTTACATATGTGTAAAGACAGCCCAGACCAAAGAAGACCAAATTATACCAAGGCGTGGAAATTTGATATTCATACATACAATACAGATATAGATAAAACTTTTACTTTAACCTTATATTTTCATACAGTTAGGGTAGGATTGTATATACTGTAGTAGACTCTCTTCTGCTCTTTTACTATAGTGAATCACTAAAAATTCTGCCACAGTATTTTTAAAAATTGAGGTAAAATTTACATGACAGAAAGCTCCACTCTTTTTGTTCTTAATTTTTTATTGTTATTTTAATTTCTGTGTGATATATTGTTCTTTTTTTAAATGGTAGAATGTATACAACGTAAAATTTACCATTTAGACCACTTTAAAGTGTTGAATTCAGTGGCATTTAATATATTTACAGTGTTGTGCAACCTTCACCACTGTCTAGTTCCAGAACATTTTATCACCCAAAAAGAAAACCCCATACCCATTAAGCAATCGCTCTCCATTCCTCACTACTCCCCAGCTCTTGGCTACCACTAATCTGCTTTCTGACTCTCTGAATTTGTCTGTTTAGGTATTTACTATATGTGGAAACATAGAATACGTGGCCTTTGTGTCTGGCATCTTTAACTTAGCATAATGTTTTCAGGATTGATCTATGTTTTTGCGTGTATCAATACTTCACTCCTCTTTTTTTGGCTGAGTAGTATTTCAGTGTATGGAAATACCACATGTTATGTATTCCTTTATTGGTTAATGGACATTTGTGTTTTTCCACCTTTTGGCTCTCGTGAACAGAGCTGCTATGAACATTTGTACAGGTTTTAAAAATTAATTAATTTATTTTTGGCTGCATTGTGTCTTCGTTGCTGTGCACAGTCTTTCTCTAGTTGCAGCGAGTGGGGGCTACTCTTCATTGAGGTGTGTGGGCTTCTCATTGCAGTGGCTTCTCTTGTTGCAGAGCATGGTCTCTAGGCACATGGGCTTCAGTAGTTGTGGCACGCAGGCTCAGTAGTTGTGGTTCAAGGGCTCTAGAGCACAGGCTTATTAGTTGTGGTGCACAGGCTTAGTTGCTCTGTGGCATGTGGGATCTTCCTAAACCAGGGCTCGAACCCGTGTCCCCTGCATTGGCAGATGGATTCTTAACTGCTGTGCCACCAGGGAAGTCCCTGTACAGGTTTTTTCTTTGAACACCTGTTTTTACTTCCTTTGAGTTTCTATCCAGGAGTGAATTCCTGGGTCACATGGTATTTTTCTGTGTACCTTTTCAAAGAACTGCCAAACTTTTCCATAGCAGCTGTACCATTTTACATTCACACCAGCAAGGTATGAGGGATTGCTTGTAGCTTTTGAACTCATTTCTCTACTTCATCAGATGGCCTTGAGGTTATTCTGTTTTTAAACCTCATTCTGCTTAGACTGAATTCATTAACAGCTTTCTTACCCTTGCTACTGTCCCCTGTTCAGAATTATGTACACATTCATGACAGTTTTATTCTCTAGAGCTGACAGTTTCAAGAGGTCACCTATTTTACAACCATTTGGTGGTCCTTGAGCATTTTAATATTTGCCTTTTTTTTTTTTTGCTTACAGTGATCACTGGCCAGCATCGAAGTGGTGTAATTTCAGCCCGAACTCGGATTGATGTTCTTTTGCTCACTTTTAGAAGAAAGCAGCCCTTCACTCACTTCCTTGCCTTTTTCCTCAATGAAGCTGAGGTTCAGGAGCGATTTCTGAAGTTCCAGGAGGAAGTACTGGAGAAGTGCTCCATGGTAAGCAGCAAACAGAACAAAATAAAAAGTTTAAGAAAAAATATAAAGAAGAGTACAAAAATGACTCATAATTCAAATAGTAGAAAGATACAAGTCTCTTCTCCCACTGAAAAAGGGAACCATTTCTAACGGTTTCTTTTAATTCTGAACTGCAAAAAATATATAGACATATCAGCACGTAAGTTTCTATGTTACAGAAATATCCTTTAAAGGATGTTGAAGACACAAAGGGATCATCCTAATATCCACACTATTCTGCACTTTGTGGGTGTATTTTTATGCATTTTAACGCATGTATAGATTTCTGTAGCCACCTACCACAATCAGGATACAGAACAGCTCTACTCCCCCCCAAAACTTCCTCATGTTGTCTCTTACAGTCACCTCTTCCTCACCCCATACTTTGGCAATCACTGATCTCTTCTTGGTTACTATAGTGTTGTCTTCCTGAGAATGTCATATAAGTGGAATCATACAGTATGTAACCTTTTGAGATTGGTTTTGGCTTTCAGGTTCATCCGAGTTGTGGTATGTTTCACTAGTTTGTCCCCTCTCATTAATTTGTTTCCAGTTTTTGGCAGTTATGAATAGAACTACTATAAACATCTGTGTACAGGTTTTTATGTGAACATAGTTTTCATTTCTTTAAAGTAAATATCCAGGAGTGGGATTGCTGGGATATATGGTAGGTATATGTTTAACTTCATAAGAAACTACCAAACTGTTTCTCAGAGTGCCTGTACTATGCATTCCCATCAACAGCATAAGAGAATTTCAATTGTTCTGCATCCTTGCCAGCATTTGGTGGTGTTGTCATTTTCATTTTAGCCATTCTAATAAGTGTGTAGTGATATGTTATTGTGGGGTTTTTTTTTTTTTTTTTTTGGT